TTTGTACCCCAGTTTCTTCATTCACATTCTTTATTCTCAAGTTGCAGATTATTTTGTCATCTAGCCTTTGTATTGTTACTGCTTGTTTCCTTGTTATTTTAAAAGTTTTCCCTTTCATACTCCCACACAACAAAATTGTCTCCAGTTTGGATAATCTATCCTTAGTTTCTTTCAAGCTGATTTGCCATCTTTCTATAGAGTTTTTAATTTCTTGATGATCTCTTTGAATCTGCTTTATGTATTGTATAATTTTTTTTTTATATTCTTCACCAAATGGTTCTCGCCTTTGTTTGAGTTCCTCCCTTCTTCCGTCTGTGTCTGCTTGAGGGGTGCTTAGTATCTCTTTTATTAATCTTCTTATATCTTGCTTTATTTGGCTAAATATTTCACTTTTGAACTCATCTATGAGGTCCTAAATATATCTCTTTATGTCTGTTGGTGCCATGTCTGATATTGCATGTTTGCTGTTCTCATTTTCCTTTGTATTTACCTGTTCTTGCGTCAGTGTTTTCAGGGTTGGGGCCTGGGGATTTTTGTTGTTGCTTCCTGTCGATGTCCGCTCCCGGCCGGCAGGAAGGACACACGACAAAGTCTGGTAGTGGACAACCTTTTCTTTTTATTTTCCTTCTCCGTACAGCCTGCCCTGGGTTCTCCCAGCTGAAGCCTCCTCTGGTCCGCTCCCCGCGGCTCCTTTTGTGCTTCAGTCTGCCCCAAAGCCTCTACCGGTCCGCTCTCCGCGGCTCCTTTTGGGCTTTTACTTCTGGGCTTCTACCTGGCTTCTTCTTCCGCCCAGGGGTGGCACCGGTATATATACGGGTACAGTGTCCAATCATGTTAAAGTAAGCAAGGCAAGCTGATTGGCTAACATCATCAGTTGCCAGGCAGACTATATTGTTGAGCGGGTTGTTTACGCGGTAAGCAGGAAACTAACGTGCTCGATGGGAGGGGCAATCTACCTCAGGCTTCACTCTTTACTACAGGCCTCACGTCCGCCAAGTGAGGCGACCGGGCTCGGGGCTGCGGCTCCCAACATCTCCCCCTATTTTATTTTTTATGAATGTGCGCATCGTAGCCCTTCCTGGACTGGGTGCAGAGGCTTATGCCCTATGCGTAGGCCCACCGTAGGTCCTTGGCTTAGACCCTGGTCGGCCGTCCCATGGTCTGCCAAGGCCCTGAGGCCCTCGTCCTTTTTCTAGGGCCAGGCACAAACTGGACGGAACCTGGATGCACACAAGCTTGCACTCATTCTCTCTCCGTAAAGAAATCCCCTCGGAGAGAAATTTAGACCTGGGCAGCATCTAACAGTCCAGCGGCTTACGTGCAGGATGGGGTAGGGCCTGGCTTAGGTCGAGTCGTGCTGGGGAGGCACGCTCTTACCCGTCATTGACTCACCTACCCTGCTGTGTATTGTCACCTTATGGAGGAGAATGAGGGATGCCCGCCATATCTAGACTCGGTCGTGGGCCAATTGAGCAAGCCATGCATATGCCTGAGGATCTTCTTGTCCATTTCGGGCTACCGCTATTTCTATTCATCTTATTGGTTGGTCTGTGATGGATCTCCAGTAGGGCAGGTCTGATCTTCAGTCGAGGGCTTTGTTGCCCGTGTCAGTCTCTCCAGTATCCACAGTGGTTCTCGTCCCGGTTCCTGTGGGAAAACACAAACCGCGCCTCGGTTCCAGCTGACCACTGGATCCGGGCCCATCCATTGTCCTGTCAGGACATCTTTCCACTTCACCCACCCTTTATGGTTGGGGGAAGGGTTGCAGTGCTCCACAGCTGGGGAGCGATTATCATTATTTAAATTTAAAAAATTGTGTGTGAATAGTGCCATGGATAATCGTGCCTTTGGGGCCAGGCCTTGGCCTACTCCCCCTTTTTGTTTTTTATTTTTTATTTTTTATTTTTATCTTTTTCGTTTTTTTTTTTTTTTTTTTTTATTGGTACCAGGGATCGAACTGGCGATTGCCTGCTTACAAGGCAGGCGCTTATGCCGCTAAGCTAAACCTCCAGCTCCCATTTCCTCGACCGGCGTTTTTCTCAGCCTGCTCGGCAGAGAACTCTGTGTACCAGGCTCGCCAATCCAGGTAACTGCCCGAGGGCAGACACGCCTTTGCCAGCTGAATCCAGTCCGCGGGGGTGAGGGGCCCAGAAGACAGATTCTCCAGCATGGCAATGGTGTAAGGCGCAGTCGGCCCAAAGGTTGTAACTGCATTTTTAAGTTCTCTAATCTGCTTTATCTCAAAAGGCTCCCATACATTGCGTCCCTGGCCCATAGCTACTTGTACAGGAAATATCCCGTAGGGGCCACTATCTATCCCAGGTGGATGTACCTCATGAGACAAGCGTCCCCCCTGCCAAAGCCGCCTGTAAAAATACCGACCCGCCGGCGGCGGAGCATAAGACAGCGGCCGTGATTGGGCGGAAAATGGGGGCCCGTGCATCACTTCCTGTTCTGGCGAAAGGGGAGGGAGCTCCCAGGCGGCCGCCTCGTGGCGAGGGATCGCCTCCGGAAACGGCCCCCAAGGTGGGGCGGAAGGCTTCGCCTCCCTCTCGCGCCGGGGAGCGCTCAGGAGCTCTCTACTCCTCCGCAGACCAGGTTGAGCAGAGCGCAATTCGCGGGGCAACGCTGGAAAAGAACCCTGCGACTCCTTATTGAGCGACTTAGGCTCCTGACAGCTGGTCTCTTTAGCCTCCTTGCCATTCAACTTTCCCTCGTCCTCGGAGTCAGACGACTCCGAGGCTAGAGCCCCGTCCTCCTCCTTAGCATCCTTGTTCCCCTTGACGGACCCCTCTCGGGAGCTCCCTGACTGGGCCTGCTCAGATACCCTGCGTACTTTTGTAAGCTCTTGAGAGCTTTCTCCACAACCACCCTCGCTCTTAGTGTTGCTACCTAACATGTTTCCCATCTTTTAATATGTTACTCACCGCGTGAGGCCCAAGGAATCCGCCACTTACGCGTGAGCCTGAGGGGAGTCTAAAAGCCCTGTAGGTGCGTGCCACCCAGAGCCCAGGCTTATCCCCAACTCACCTGTCTCGCAGCTCTGTACTGGAGCGTTGTCCACTTCCACGTCTCGGGGGTGATCAGTCCCCGGGCGGGCCTCCAAATGTCGATGTCCGCTCCCGGCCGGCAGGAAGGACACACGACAAAGTCTGGTAGTGGACAACCTTTTCTTTTTATTTTCCTTCTCCGTACAGCCTGCCCTGGGTTCTCCCAGCTGAAGCCTCCTCTGGTCCGCTCCCCGCGGCTCCTTTTGTGCTTCAGTCTGCCCCAAAGCCTCTACCGGTCCGCTCTCCGCGGCTCCTTTTGGGCTTTTACTTCTGGGCTTCTACCTGGCTTCTTCTTCCGCCCAGGGGTGGCACCGGTATATATACGGGTACAGTGTCCAATCATGTTAAAGTAAGCAAGGCAAGCTGATTGGCTAACATCATCAGTTGCCAGGCAGACTATATTGTTGAGCGGGTTGTTTACGCGGTAAGCAGGAAACTAACGTGCTCGATGGGAGGGGCAATCTACCTCAGGCTTCACTCTTTACTACAGGCCTCACGTCCGCCAAGTGAGGCGACCGGGCTCGGGGCTGCGGCTCCCAACAGCTTCCTCTTCATATATATATATATATATATATATATATATATATATATATATATATATTTTTTTTTTTTTTTTTTTTTTTTTTTTTGCTTCTTCTGGGAGGCCCCAGTTTCTTTCTTTGTTGGTTACAATTCTTCTGAACCGCACTGGCTATATTGCCCTTCACACTGTAGTATGCTAGTGAGTTGCAGACAGGGACAGCATATGCTGGCCCCTCCCCTCTGGATCAGTCAAGCTGCTATGGCCTGCCCTGTATTACTTTGTGCCGCCTCCCCTCTGGATCAGTCAAACTTCTGAAGCTTCACTGGGTTAGTGTGGTTAGTATGCTCGACTGTGACTTGACTTTGGATAACCCATTGGGTCTCATCTGGGTCACGTGGCCCAGGCCTACCTCACTCCACCAATCCCATTCGGGGAGGGGAACAATTGACTGAAGTCACTAGTCACTGCTCCCCCTTGTACTTGCCTGACTTGCCCGGTCCCAGAATGTCATCCATGGGAGCCCCCCTGCTTATGGAATGGCTCTACTCCCGTCACTCACCACAGCTCGATGTAGGCACCCTGCCAAATCAGCTCTCCTTTTGGCTCGCTGACCCCTGAATTCAATGTAACGGTGCCTCCAGTGAGTTGAAGTGGCAGGACCGTGGACAGCTCAGCAAGTTGCCGTGGGACCTCGGCTTGTCGTGGTGGGGCTGCAGATGGTCAGCAAGTCACCTTAATTTCTTCTTGGGATGAGAGAATTCATCTCCCTCTGTTTGGGGCTTCCCACTCTGTATTACGTTGAATTCTAAGTTGACTATCTCACAGAGCCTTTGTAGCCAGTTGTAATCTATCCACCATCTTTACTCCTCCCCTGAATTTGATTATTAATTTTAGGAGTCTTGATGGAGTTTTTTGGTTTTTTTGTGTAAAGGATTATGTTATCTGTGAATAATGATGGCTTGATCATATATAGATATATATATACATAGAAATACATACATTTATATTTATGTCTGTATGTCTTGTGTCTATCTATTGACAAATAGATATGTATATCTTTTATTTCTTTTTGCTAATTACCTGGTTAATTTGAGAAATAAATGTATCTTATGTTTGTTTCCTTGAGGCAATATCTCGCTGTGTAGTTCAGGCAGGCCCTGAAGTCATTCTGTACCCCAAACTGGCCTTTTAGCATTGTGGCAGCTCTTCTGCTTCAGCCTTCCAAGTGCTGAGTCACAGGCATGTGCCATCATGCCTGGTTTGAGAATGATGTTGGAAAGGGGTGATAACAGTGGACATCCTGGCCTTGTTCCTGCTTTTAAGGGAAGAGTGTGTAGCTTCTTTCTGTTAAATGTGATGTTGACTGTTGATTTATCATAGATGACTTTTATCAAATTGAGATAAAGATCTCTACTTATTTTTTTCAGGGTTTGTATCATGAATGGATGTTGAACTTTGTCAGACATTTTGTCTATATTGGATCTATTGAGATGATCATTGAAAGAGTTGCTGGCTCAAACTGAACACTGTAACCAGAAAAGGCTGCAGCTAAACTCCTCCCCCACCCTGCCCCCTATGGACTTGATTGTAATCCTATATCCCCATCCTTAAGGACCTGTGCGCCAATGAGATACCTGTGCATCTCTAATGGCCTTTGGGGCACTGCCCTAAGCTTAGGCTATTTACATTCCCCCACGCCACGTGTCTGAGAGAGACCTCCAGATTCCAGTGGCCAGTATGCCGGTCTCCTTTCCCGTGTTCCCGGAATAAAGGCCTCTTTTGTCTTATACTCCTCGACTTTTGGAAGCATCTTTTATCCTTTGAAGACAGACCTATCATTTGGTGCCCTGTGACTCGATCGGCGGGCAACTGACTTGGGACACACCCCCAGTTGGGCCCCTTGCCGATTCACGAACCGAAACCATCACGGCTTAACTCTGCGCTCCTCCTGCCAGGACGCGTCCCATCTCCTGCCAGCTGCCTCCACTCACCGCAGCCCCGATTGATTTAAGGTGAGCACGCTCTGCAAGACTCTTATCACTGGGCCCGGACCCAGTCAACTGGTCTATCCCCCGTTTGCGTTTGCCTCGCCGCGTGGCGCTACGGGTTGCTGATAGCTTTTCCTTTGTGCCACGGGATTTTGCCTGCCCTATTCACCGATGGGTAATTTCCTTCCTACATCCCAAAAAACGCCTCTACAATGTTTAATCTCCAATTTACGTACTTTAAAAATTAAGAATACCATAAAAACTAAATTATTAACTTTTTACTGCCAGGAAGTTTGGCCTACCTACCCACTCCCTGGCAAACGCTGGCCTCCAGAAGGGACGTTCGATGTTTCAATTCTACAAACACTCTATGATTTCTGTAAGGCCAGCGATAGAGTCATGGAACTCCAATACATAGAGGCATTTTTGGTTCTGAGGACGCGCCAATCCCTCATTAGATCTTGTGCTCCCGCTGAGATCCTTTTGGCCACCGATACTGTGGCTCAAACTGTTCCATCCTGCCCTCCAGATTCGCTTGAGGACGTACCACCAGTCTTCAGGTCACTGCCAGCCGCTTACACAGCTCGTTCTGTCCCATTACCCCTCGCTGGCCATCCCCCTGTGCCCAGTTCCCTCAGTTGTGCGGGTCACCATGTGTCACAGTTACGATCCTCCTCCCCTCCCCCTTCCGCGATGCAGGCTCCTCCTGGCGGCTCTGCTCCGCCTTCTGATACCTTTTCACCGCCTGCGTACCACACTAGGTCACGTTCATTGTGCCCCGCTGGCACACAGCGTGATCTTTCTGGCTTGCGCGGACAGCCACCATGCCCGCCGTGCTCGGGCAGCTATGCCGGTAACAGGGCGCCGCCATGTTCCGGAAGTTCAGGCAGGTCATGTGGGCATGGAGCACTGCCCAGTTTCCTTAGTTGCGATAGTGACGGGGCGCCGCCACGTTCCGGAAGCTCAGGCGAGCAGCATGGCGATGGAACGCTGCTGGGTTCATTTGGTTGCCGTAGTGATGGGGCGCCGCCATGTTCCGGAAGTTCAGACGCGACGTGTGGCGACGGAGCGCCGTTGGGTTCAGATCGTTGTTATCACGATGGGCCGCCGCCATGCTCAGAGGGGTCACATGGCATGCCGCCATGTTCATTTGGTTACCATGACAACAGGGGGCAACCATGTTCTTTCTGGTCTCACGATCAACGGGCGCCCTCTAGTGGCTCCCCTTGTAAGCATCAACGGCTGCCCTGTCGTGCTTCTTTTGAGCCACACAATGCCATGTCCACTGCCTATACTTCCTCCTCAGAGGGTAAGCAGCAGCCGCTCTGTAGCCGCTCTTCAGATAACTACTCACACGCGTCTACTGGGCGGATAGCTGCTCAGTGGCACTCTCCTCTGCGTCCCTCTCCTCAAGCTCTGCTGCCACTTCGAGAGCAAGCTGACCCCGAAGGCCTTGTAAATATTCATGTGCCATTTTCTCTTTCTGATTTGTCTCAGATTACCCATAAATTGGGCAGCTTTTCTGTAGACCCACAAAATTATATCAGACAATTTGAATTTATTACCAATTGCTATGATTTACATTTTAAAGATGTTTATGTGATTTTAAATACTACCCTTAGCTCACAAGAACGGAACCAGCTGTGGCAAGCAGCTCGTGAGGAGGCGGACCGAAGACACAGGACAAATACGATTGAGAATGACCCTGGCCCTGTAGCTGTGCCTGACCAAGACCCTAACTGGAACTATCAAAATGGTCAAGGCTCAAGAAAATTACATAAGATGATAGAGTGTCTGATTGTGGGCCTTAATAAGATTGCTCACAAACATACTAATTATAACAAGCTTTTAGAACAGGTCCAAGAGGCTAATGAAAACCCGGCTGTGTTTCTGAATTGGCTTCGGGAAACCTTAATTAAATATACCAATGTAGACCCAGACTCTCATGAAGGGATGATTGTAGTTAATTCCTATTTTATTTCACAGTCTGCTCCTGATATTCGTGCAAAACTACAAAAGGTTGAACAAGGCCCTCAGACTCCACAAGGAGATCTACTTAAATTGGCCTTCCGTGTCTTCAACAACAGAGACAAGCTTCAAAAAGAGGAAAAGCAAGCTCAAAAATTAAGGCTTGCTAAATATCAGTCTGACCTCTTAGCAGTGGCACTCGGGGCTCCCAAAACAAACAATCCACAACAAGGTGTGGCTGCCCAAGCCCCGTTCAGACCATGCTTCAAATGTAACAAGCAAGGACACTGGGCACGAGACTGCCCCAACCCTGGCACTCCTCCTGGGCCCTGCCCAATCTGCAAAGATGAAGGGCGAGCGACTAGGCCATCCTCTAATCCCTTGCTCTCACAGGAGGCTTCATCAATGCCAGATTCGTCGCTGACTGACCTGCTCGGACTTGCTACAGAAGAATGATGGGGCTCGGGGCTCATGGCCCCCACTCCAGTCACCTTGACGGAGCCCCGAGTCTCATTGGAGGTCTCAGGCAAAATAATATCTCTGCTTGTAGACACGGGGGCCACCTATAGTGTGCTTCCTGAATTTTCAGGACATTGTACTAAGTCTCAGATCTCTGTTGTGGGTGTTGACGGCCAGCCAAATCAACCTTTACAGACTGGGCCTATCCCATGCAGATTCCAGACCCTTTTCTTTACCCATAGCTTCCTCGTAATCCCAACATATCCCACGGCCCTGTTAGGTAGAGACCTCCTTTAGAAGCTTAATTTTTCCTTCACTTTCTCTCTCCCCACAGCTCTAATCCTCCAAACTGCCTCACAATGCGTCACAAAGCCATTCCCCCCTCTTTCTCCTTCTTTGGTTGACCCCACAGTCTGGGACACATCCAATCCCACTCTGGCTACACATGCCACGCCTGTTTTAATCCGTCTCAAGGATCCCTCAATTTTTCCCTGCGTTCCCCAATACCCCATAGCCCCCCAACATTTAAGGGGGCTTAAACCCATCATTAAGCGGCTTTTAGACAATGGATTTCTTAAACCTACCCATTCACCCCACAATACTCCCATTCTCCCAGTGCTCAAGGCTGATGGGTCCTATCGCCTGGTACAGGACCTTAGGGTGATCAACAGTGCTGTCACCCCAACTTACCCAGTGGTGCCAAATCCTTATACCATGCTCTCTCATATCCCTTCCTCCACTACTCACTTTACAGTTATAGATCTTAAAGATGCCTTCTTCACTATCCCCCTACACCCTGATTGCCAGAACCTCTTTGCGTTTACATGGACTGACCCAGACACTCTCAGGTCTCAGCAACTTACTTGGACAGTACTCCCCCAGGGGTTCAGGGATAGTCCCCACTTCTTTAGTCAGGCTCTTGCTACTGACCTCACAGAACTCAATCTCAAACCTAGTGTTCTGCTCCAATACATAGACGACCTCCTATTATGCTCTCCATCCCATATGTTAGCCATACGCCACTCAGCCAGTCTTCTTAATTTCCTTGCTAGCCGTGGATACAGGGTGTCTCCCACCAAAGCCCAGATAGCCTCCCCAAAAGTCAAATACCTAGGTCTTGCTCTCACCCCCACCACTCGCTCCATCACCTCAGATCGTAAGGCAGTTCTTCGTGATCTCCAGGTGCCCACAACTAAACGGCAGGTTACATCTTTCCTGGGTTTAGCTAATTTTTTTCGTCTTTGGATTCCTAATTTTGCAGCCCTAGCTCAACCTCTCTACAAGGCTGCTAAGGGTTCCTTATCAGAACCCCTGGACCCTACTAGGCCCATACATGCCTCCTTTCAAAAACTAAAAGAGGCTCTCCTAAAAGCTCCAGCTCTTACCCTTCCTGATCCCACCCAACCTTTCATCCTATACACTACTTGTCAGGGCCACAACGCTATAGGTGTACTAGGACACAAAAAGGGACCTTCTTTTCAAGCAGTAGCTTACTTATCTAAACAGTTAGATCACACAGTAAAAGGATGGGCTCCTTGTCTCCGAGCTCTTGCAGCTGCAGCCCTCCTGACACAGGAAGCTAAAAAGTTTACATTGGGACAATCTATTACAGTACACTCACCTCATCACTTACGTGACCTTATCTCACATAAGGTGCTCCCCGCCCTAATGACCCCTTCTCGCCTTCAACAGGTACACTTAGCTCTCTCTCAAGACCCTTGCATCTCTATTGCAACTAGTGGTCCTCTTAATATAGCGACCTTACTTCCCACCTCAGAAGGCCCTCCTCACCATGACTGTATAGAGTTTTTACAGATGACTCCCACTTCTTTCCCTCACATCAGTAGCACACCTCTCTCCTTGGCCTTTGACACATGGTTCATAGATGGCAGTTCAACAAACACAGACAACCAAAAGAAGGCGGGATACGCAATAGTTAACCAGTCAAAAGTTATAGAGGCAAATTCACTGCCACCTGGGACCTCTTCCCAGAGGGCAGAGCTTATTGCCCTTACAAGGGCCCTTACACTAGCAAAAGACAAGATTATAAATATATACACTGACTCAAAGTATACATTTAGCATCTTACACTCTCATGCCTCTATCTGGCAAGAACGGGGTTTTATTTCCACTCAAGGAACCCCCATTATTAATGCCCCCCTTATCCTTAAGCTTCTAGAGGCAGCCCAACTTCCAAAGCAGGCAGCAGTCATCCATTGCAGAGGACACCAAAGCTCTACAGATCCTATTGCTCAAGGCAATGCCTTTGCAGATTCACAAGCCAAGTTAGCTGCACAAGGGCCCTGCCCTTCTCATCTTCTCCCATTAGTCCCAAGCAGTCTACCTCAGCCCAATTATTCACCAGAACAGTTACAACTACTTCATAAACCAGGTTACACACAAAACACTCAAGGATGGATTTTTCAGGGATCTAAACTTGTTCTCCCACATCAACAGGCCTCAGACATCATCACTGACTTACACAACTGTTTTCATATAGGATCTCAGGCCCTATACAAACTTTTGGCCCCAATAGTCACACACCCTTCTCTAAAAGCCATCATTCTTAAAACAACTCACACCTGTGATCTCTGTGCCAGAACCTCTCCTCAGGGACACATGGCACCCCCTTCCTTTCCTACCCATCAATTTCGGGGACACACCCCTGGTCAGGACTGGCAGATAGATTTTACACACATGCCCCGCCACAAGACTCTCAAATATCTTCTCACTTTTGTTTGCACCTTTTCAGGATGGATAGAAGCCTTTCCCACAACCAGGGAAACTGCTGATGTAGTTACCAAAGTCATATTACAAGAAATCATTCCAAGGTTTGGTCTACCTCGGAGTATTCAGTCAGATAATGGTCCCGCCTTCATTTCTCGGATCACTCAACAGGTATCCTCGAGCTTACATATCACCTGGCACTTACACACCCCATACCATCCACAATCTTCAGGAAAAGTAGAAAAGGCAAATGGCCTCATAAAGACACACCTTACAAAACTCACTTTAGAACTACACCAACCTTGGCCTCAACTTTTGCCCTTAGCCTTAGCCAAGCTCAGGGCACTCCCCCGGGCTCCTACTTTCTTAAGTCCTTTTGAACTTATGTATGGCAGGCCATTCTTACTCCACAATCTTCCTGCTCCCCAAAATCTCCATCCCCTGGCTGACTATGTCCCAGTCCTCTCCTTCCTCCGACACCTGTTGCGACAACATGCTGATCTCTGTCTTCCACAGCCCTCTGGAGAGGCCAAACCAGATCCTCCCATATCCCCAGGAGATCTAATTTATCTCAAATGTTCTAAATCCACAGGACTACAACCAAGGTGGAGTGGTCCTTACCTGGTCTACTTGGCTACCCCTACAGCGGTCAAAGTTGCTGGACTCCCATCCTGGTTTCACATCACTCAGGCTAAAAGGTGCCCTCCCAGCACCAAATCTGATCATTCTGAGTGGTCATCTCATCTTTTGTCGCCCACCCGTCTCCGTTTCACAAAGGCCTCGCAGCCACAGTTAACAGGCTAAGTCATGTTTGGTTATCCGATTTGGTTCCTAATTTCTTACGCTCTATTAATGATCATTTTTGCAGCAGGACTCTTGACAGTCTTTCCTAGAGACTCCCACATCATGCGTAAGATCATCTTTATTATGTTCTATGTGATAACTGTCGTGGTTCTTTCCACCCTCAGCTGTCTGGTTAAACGTGAAATCCCTGAAAGCCTAAGCTCTCACCTTCCTTATATTGGTACAGCCACCGTCTCCCATACTCCCCCTATTTTATCCGGCTCAACTCCTAGACCAGAGACAAGTTTTACACACCCACCCTCCTGATGCTTTCAGATGGGGGAGTAATCACCTCTCATGATTTCAATAACCTCACACTTATTTTTCAGAGTTCTACCTCACCATGATGATGCTCCTACCTCAATCTACCTCACCTGGGTCCTTAAAAATAATAGTGCCATGTCTCCTAATAACATTATGTCTCTTTGTTTTTTCCAGTCTGACATACGTACATTCACCAGTAAAGTTGTCCTGGCTAAAACACCTGGCATCAGTGTCTACCTGGGCATCAACCTTCATCCCGTCAAACTCCTCTAGACCCCCAATACAACGCCCTCAGCCAGCAGGAAGTAGTTATAGAGAGAGATCTTCGCCCCTTTTCCTAACCTCTAACCATAAGACGGGATATGAAAGAGTTGCTGGCTCAAACTGAACACTGTAACCAGAAAAGGCTGCAGCTAAACTCCTCCCCCACCCTGCCCCCTATGGACTTGATTGTAATCCTATATCCCCATCCTTAAGGACCTGTGCGCCAATGAGATACCTGTGCATCTCTAATGGCCTTTGGGGCACTGCCCTAAGCTTAGGCTATTTAGATTCCCCCACGCCAAGTGTCTGAGAGAGACCTCCAGATTCCAGTGGCCAGTATGCCGGTCTCCTTTCCCGTGTTCCCGGAATAAAGGCCTCTTTTGTCTTATACTCTTCAACTTTTGGAAGCATCTTTTATCCTTTGAAGACAGACCTATCAATCATATGGTTTTTTGTGCTTGCTTCTCTTTGTGTGGTGGAGTATTACTTTTATTGATGTACATATGTTAAACTAGCTCTGCAGCCCTGGGATGAAGCCTACTAGGTCAGGGGGGCATATAATCTCCCTGATGATTTGCTGCATTCTGTTTGCCACTATCTTGTTGAAGATTTTTTTGGCCTTCAGTTGTCTTATTTTGCTTGTCTTTTTCTGGTTTTTAAATCAGGTTATTGGGTTGCTCCAGGAACTATGTTGGAAGTACAGCTTCTCTGTTGATTTCATTAAAGAGTATAAAGAGAATTGGTATTAGAGCTTCAGTAAAGTTCTTATAGAATTTGACAGTAAAACTCTCAAGATTTGGGCTTTTTTGGTGGGTAGTTTTTAAAATTGCTTCAATTTTGTTTACTGATACTAGATTATGGATGATTTTTATATCTTCTTGGTTCAATTTTTGGTAATTCATATATATCTAAGAATCCATCAAATTCTTTTCCATTGATTTTCCATGAATTTTCCATTTTATTAGGATACAGGTTGTCAAAGCAGTTATACCTGATCTTTTGGATTTTGGGAGAATTCATTGTGGTTTTGTGTTTTTCATTTCTCATTGTTTGGATTTGGGTCTTTTCTTCTTTTAGTAAGATCGCCTAAAGGCAAAGACTAGTCTTTTAAAGAACTGGTTCTTTGATTCATTGATTATTTGTATTGTTTTTTGTTTCAGTTTCATTTATTTCTTTTCTAATCTTTATAATTTCCTTCCTTATGATAGCTTTGGGCTTAAATTTGCCTTGTTCTTCTAGGATCTTGAGGTACATCATTAGGTTTTTATTTGAGCTCACTCTTTTTCTGATGTGAGTTTCACTGCTATAGCATTCCCTCTTAGGACTGCTTTCATTGTGTCCCATAGATTTCAGTATGTTGTATTTGCATTATTGTTTAATTCTGTGACCTACTGATTATTCAGGAAGTATTATCTTAATTTCTATGTGTTTGCATAGTTTCTGTGGTTTCTTTTGCCTGTGATTTCTAGCTTTATTGCACTACCATCCGATACTCTGCATGGGATAATTTTGACTGTTTTGCTTTTACTTACGCTTGCTTTCTTGCCTACTATTTTGGAGAAAGTACCATATTCTGCTAAGAAAAATGTGTTCTCTGTTCTTTTTTTTGGTGGAACACCTTATAGATATTAAGTCCACTTGTTTAAAAGTTTGTTTCAACTCTTATTTCTTTGTCAATACATTGTATAGTTGATCTATGTGTGACAGTGGGGCATTATTATCCCCCATTACAATTTTATTGGTGTTTATTCAATTTTTCATGTCTAATAGGGTTTGTTCCAGTGCATAAATGTTTATAATTGTCATCTCTTCCTGATGAATTGTTCCCTTAACCAATATGTAGTGACATTCTTTGCCTCTTATGATCAGTTTTGGCTTGAAATACACTATGTCTAGTATTAGGACAACTACTTCTGCGGTTTTGAGCTTGTAGTTGCAAAGAATATTGTTTTTCATCTTTGATTCATTTTTTTTTTTTGATATCCAAAGTGCAGCGACTCTTATTTTTTTTCAGGGTGGATATTATAATTTTTTTTATAAAATCTGAAAATGATTTTATAAGTTCATGTAAATTGCACAGAATAGTGGATTACATTTTGATGTACTGCAATTTGCATATAATATACATTGATTTTTTTTTTTTTTTGGAGGTGCTGGCTTGGCTTCCCAGAGTCCTAAGTTCCAACATGGCATGGATCTCAGGAGACACTGCTAGTTCTCCCCCTGGAAGGGCTGCAGTGGGCCACACTACTACCGCTTACCAGGGAGGGGAGGTTATGGCTTGGCTTCCCAGAGTCCTAAGCTCCAACATGATGTGGGTCTCCTCATCTTTGATTCTTAATCTTTGAATTTTTTAAAGTTAAATGTGTTTCCTGTATACTGCATATTGTTGAGTTTTGTTTCATAATTCATTTCCCCAGCCCATGTCTTTTGACTCGGGAGTTGAGGACATTCATATTTAGAGTTATTACCGAGTGGTATTGACTTAGTTCTGTCATTGCATGGTTGTTCTTTTTTCCTTTTGTTTCACTGCTCGTCCTGCCAGGTGTATTCGTTCTTTTTTCCAGTTATGGGCATGATCCTCATTGTCTTTCTGGGATATCCTTGAGAATTTTTTGCAATGCTGATTTAGTTGTCATGAATTTCTTGAGGTGCTCCTTGTCATGGAAATAGCTTTTTTTCTCTATCAGTGTTGAAAGAATGTTTTTCAGTGTACATAAATCATGATTGGAAATTGTTATCTTTAAAGGCCTGAAATATTTCATTCCATGTTGTCCTACTTTTTAAAGTTTGCGTTGAGAAGTCTACTATAATTCTAATAGGTTTTCCATTATATGTGATTCATTGCTTTTCTCTAACAGCTTTTAATATTTTTTTCCTATGATGAACTTCTGGTACTTGAGTAATATGTGATATGAACAAGCTTCTTTTGGTCATGACTATTTGGGGTTTTATAGCCCTCATTTATCTATATATTCATTTCTTTTTCTATATTTGAGGAATTTTCTGCCTTTTTTGTGAACAGGTTTTTTTTTATGCCAATTATGTTGTCTTCTGATTGTTAGTTATTCCAGTTACCCTTAGATTGTTGGTGTCTTCTTTGTGTCTCCATTTTTATGTTATATTGTTGCCTTTAAGGCTTCTTTGAGTACTTTGCTTTGAAGAGAATCACTTTTGACGCTTATACTTTCATATAATTTTTAAACTCCTGGATTTCTGATTGAAATCCTTTATAGACTCTAATTTTTGTTAACCTGGTTCTTCATCTTTTGTATTATTTTGCTAAGCTCAGTTAGCTATTTATTAGTGCCTTCTGAAAGTTCCTGGGTTATTTTGGTTATTATTTCCATTATACATTTAGTTGCATTTTCCTTCATCCCAAAGAGTACCTCTTTGATCTGTTTTCTAAACTTCCTCTGTTATCCTTCCAAATATTTCAGGTATGTGTCCTGTGCTATTTTCTCTCCTCCATGCCCACTGTATTGGCTTTGGGGCAGTTGGGAGTTTTGGGGGGCATTTTGTTACCTGTCATCTCATGTTTCTATTTTTGATTGTTTCTTTGGGCTGAGATTTGTGAATGCTTATAGTGTAAAAACTTCATCGCTAGTGTAGAGGTCTCCTTGAATTAGTTGCTTTTCCATGAAGTGCTTTTGGGTATGATTTACTATAGTTCTTTGCCACTATCTCAAGATCTGCTCACTTTGGTTAATTTGGGAGGAGAGGGTGTGGCGTAAGCAGCCCAGCACCAAGTGCACATGAAATGTACCCTCTATTGTTAGTATCAGAAATACAATCTGAATGTTGGTTTATAAGGAAAATTCATTAATAGCAACAATTATGGGACCAATGCAAAGCAATTCAGCTATTGCTGTCTAAATAGGTACAGATCATCAATAGTAGTATAATTCAAGGCAAGTTGGGTATTAACATACCATAAGACTTAGTCTTCTCTTAACCCCAGAGAAGAAATCCACAATTATAGCATAAACATAAAGACAACCCAGGTATTTACCTACGGCTAACATGCATTAAATGTGACAGCCATATCTCTGCTAATGGTTTCACAAAAATTGACAGTAATTTTATAGGATCAACTATTTAAAGACCAATAAAGCTTTATAAGTACACTATTATAAGGGCTTGGGAACAAGGGAATGCAAGAAGAAAGATTTGAAATTTTAAACCAGATGATATGAGACAGAGGGGAGAGAACGGGGGCAAAAGATCCCAAATGGGGATAGAGGGATGCTTATATAATTAAGTAGAGGTAACAGAAGAAACTGATTGTCATGGTTTATGTCAAATGCCTGCCTCCCAGTCTCATGTAATCATGGATGTGGCTGAATCTAGCATTTGTGATTGGTTTGTTGTCTAGCACTCAGATTGGTGGTGGGAGTGCTACACATGCCCAGGAATAGAGCCAGCATACAGTGTAATAGGGAAAGAAGGTGTGTCTTTCTCTCTTTTGTGTGGTTTACTCTTGCTGTTTGCTGCCGCCATGCATTGCTCCCTCCCCAGGCCACCTTGCCACTTGGGGCCAAATGAGTATGGACTGAAACCTCCAACCTGTAAGAATAAACTTTTCCTTCCTTAACTTTGGGCATCAGGTATTTTCTCTCAGAAGGAGAGAGAAAAGTAACTAAGACACTGACAGAAGTAGGTGATACAAAAGGGAGAAAAATGAATTATATGATGAAGAGAAAAGAGAAAATATTAAGGAAAGAAAAGTGATGAGGAAATAAAGAAAAAACAATTAAGAAACAGTAAAAAAGCAATGGAAAAAGATAAGGGAAAATTCTGTTATGGATTATTTGGATTGTATCTCCCCAAAGCTTCATGCACTCTTGTGAGGTGACTAGATCATGGGTGCATTTTACCGGATCACGAATGTGTGATACTGGGTTAATCCACTGATAAGTTTATTACTGGGTATGATGTCGGGAAATGGAGCAAGGTGGAAAGAGGTGGGCCATTTGGGGTAAGGCCTCAGACAGTACATATCCCTCCTCTTCCTTTCATCCCTCTCTTTTTCCTGCCTGCCATGCAGGGAACTGTTCCACCTTTGCCACGTTCTCTTCTAGGTTGCCCTGTCTTGAATCAGCCAATTATAGACTAAAACCTTTACAAACTATGAGACAAAATAAACTTCTCCTCCCTTATCTTATAGGTATCAGGTATTTTTTTCCCCAGGAATGAGAAAGTAACTAAGATATTCCCCAAACTTCTCAATACCAGTGAAAAACAGGAAAACATAAATAAGCAAATACATTCACTCATAAATGAAAGATGAGAGGAAAAAAAGAAAGAAAAAAAAGAAATTTGTTATATTTTGAATGCATAGATTTCTTTCAGGATCCACATTTTTGGGGCAGTGTCAAAGATGTGTCCCT